GGAATCGTATTTCATGCACACATGGTATATTGTTAAGTGCTATTTTTGAACAAACAGTATTCCATGGTCATCAATATATTGATGTATTGTTATAACACTTTTTATTTGTACTCGCATATTCATGTTTTTTTTTCATACTTTCATTTGTAGATTATTACTCATTGATTTCTAAGAGGATGAAGGATCACAAATGTAGGTTCGACATCTTTCTTATTACCTTCATGTCAAGCACATCATTTAAATATTTTTTGTTCACATGTTACGTTATTATGTTTATTATGATTTACTCTATTACAGATATATCATACATAACTGCTGTTAAATGTTCTGATCATCTATGAAAAATACTTACAGAACTTAGTCCAACTTCGTAATTTTTGAATGACCACATGACAATGTAAAATGCAGCAATAAACTTGCATGTGTTGCGTTAGTTTTTACGAGACAAACAAATCGATTTTTTTTCCTTCGTGCAACGCACGGGTAATACACTAGTTATCTCCTAGAACATTCATCCCTTAAAAAATATCCTTATTTGTCGTGTTGTACAATACGTTACCTGGGACACCTACATGCTATTTGATGAATTTGTTTGAGATTTTTTTTAAATGGATATTATCTTAAAGTTATAATAAAGTTATTCACATGTATTTTTAATAATTTTTTTACGAGAATACAACTGTTTTGAAACCAAATACGAATCTATTATAATCAGAATTCGACGTGACGTCACGCCCAGAATTGGACGTGACCACTCAATAGGGTATGTCTTTCTCATTACTCACGTCCCATACTGGACGTGTCTTTCTCCTCCTTGGTCAGGGCATCTCTCTCTCCTGGGTCGTGCCTGGTTCTGGGCGTGAGTGGTCACGTCAGATTCTGGGCATGATGACTAAATGCAACAGACTCATATTTAATTTCAAAACAACTGTATTTTTGTAAATAATTATTAAAATAGCAATATTTAAATTTTTTTGCGTTTTTGCCTAACATATGCTACGTAGACACCTATGTTGCACCGACACCGACACGGGACACGGGATACGACACGGTAATTTCAAAAAATATTAGATTTCGACACGTTAAGATACGTTTTTATATTAAATAATATTTTTAATATATATAATATAGTATATATTTAATACATATAATAACTCATAATAAATCATATAATCAATTAAAATATTTTATTTTTACTCATTTTTTTAAAATTCATTTAAAAAAGCAAGGCATAAATAAATTTATTATTTTAAAAATCCATACAATAGCACTTGACAACAATATTAAACAGCCACTTAAAAGATGACATGACCAAGTTATTTAAAAAAAGAAGAAGAACAGAACCAAATACAAGGTGTCAAATACTAGCACTCTATTGGTCCATTCAAGAGCGCACGAATAGCAAGAATTAAACCTACTTTTATTCTATCTCACACTCAAAAGCTTTGGAGTCCCTAGGCCAAGAGTTGCAGAAATACGTGGCTGGAGAGCTTCACCACCAATATCCATGAAAGCTTGTATCTTTAGCACAAAAGTTAAACGGGAACATCTCTTTGGCCTTGCTTTTCTTTTTGGCATGCTTCTTCTTCTTTTTCTTCTAGTTTTTTGCTGAGACTTTGTTTTCTCATCGAATCTGAAGTGATTCTCGTGGATAGTGTTGAGGTATTTTATAAATATTTTAATTTTATAAAAATTTCAAATATTTTACATTTCTATCCTTTGAACGTGTCGGACACGGTCAAAATCACGTGTCGAAATAGTCAATGTGTCCAGAAAAGTTGAGTGCACGTCGGACGCGTGTCGGTGTCCGACACACAAATTTTTTTAAAAATGCCGTGTCGGTGCTTCCTTGGTAGACACATTAATAACTTCATTAATTTTTAATATAATAATTCACCCTTCCTAGTTCTATTGGCTCAATGTTTTAAGATAAGACATTAGATAGTGTAAAATAAAATGCACAATATAATTTTCTTAAGAGGGAAATCACTACATCGACAAAATAATTTTGATAAAAATGGCTCAAAAAAGGAATTTTTAATTTTTTTTTACCCCTATGTCCCTAACTATGCCTTTATATATTAGTAAAAAAAATGTGTTTCAATCAATTATTTCATTTATATTGTAAAAGAATTCAATAATGAGCTAATAATTTTGTCATTTTTTATTTGAGAATACTTGATTAGAGAATAAATAGTTAAGGTGCACTATTATAAAAACTTTAACTATAGACCATAATCAGTGACGAATCATAAGTGTATCTCTATTCTATGTAGCACCGATACCGACACGGGACACGTGACACGACACGACGCGACACTCCGACACGTTTATTCTAAAAAAGTGAGATTTCGACAAGTTAGGACACATTTTGATATTAAATAATATTTTTAATTTATGTAGTGTATATTATATATAATATTCAATAATTTAACAAAAAATGAAGTTAAACTTATAATACCCATCAATTTTGCAAAAAAACATAAGATATCCCAAATATTTAAATTAAACTCAATAAAATGGTAATCGTAATCTAACGAATCTAATAATCGAAACTAAAAACGTAACGCAACGCAACCTTTGAATCATTTTTTGAGTTTTTACAACACGTGTTGGAGTGTCGGAGAGTGTCGGAGTGTCGAAGAGTGTTGGGAAGTGTCGGACACGACACATCAGGGTTTTTGAAGTGTCGGTACTTCATAGTCTCTATTTGCAACGAATTTAAAAATGAAATTACATTTTTCAATTTGTTGACTATATTAAAATTGGATATATTCATAAATAGAAAATCAATCTCTACTTTTAATTTTCTTTTTCTTTTTTTAGATTATTCCTCCGGTAATCTCATAGGTTCCCCATCGGTTAATCTAAAGTTTGAGGCAAATCCAGGATTAAGATTTTAAATCCCTCACAAAGATGTAAATGAGGAAGATCGAATATTTAATTTTTATCTGTAAATAGTCAGACAAAACCTATCGTTTTGTAAACTTTGTTTAGCGACGGAAACAATAGTAGAACATGGTCTGTTGTCTGGACAAGTCCGATGATGATTCTGTCACTAAATCTCTATGTTAGTATTTGCTACGGAATTTGTGATGAATAAGAAAATGTAAAACTCAATTTTAAGATATTTTAATTTACAATAATGATATTACGAGACATTTCTTAGATATTCTAACATATGTAATACTTTAAAAATGAAAAACATCCATTAGATTGTTTAATTGAAGAAAAATTAAAACACTCGTTGAGCTTGTCATTATGTGTATTTTACACGTTGTTTGTTTTGGTAACTTCTTAAATAAATTTGTATGTTTAAGGAGACTTTGCATGTTTAGGCGTGAATCATTTCTATTATAATTTATAAAGCACGAACACTTTAAAACAGATTAAGAGTTGGTGTCTCATCAGACCAAATACAATACGGGCTGGCCAAAGTATATCGGGCCTAATCACACACGGTTGAAATGATGTGGATGCTCTGCTTCTTGGGCTTGAGGTTGTTGATGATGGTATGTTGACTCTGGTCCTTTGTTGGCGCGATCGTTTGAGACTGGATGGGGTACCTGCAATGACACTCTGATGCTTAAGTCAATATCAATTGCAGGTGTATGTGTATTCTTATTGAATTAGATGATCATACCTAGACATGTACCATCTGTTTATATAGTGGTTCTGTTGCCGCCTTCAGAAGGCGGTATGGTATGGCCTCTGATTGGCCATTCATGGGCTGCAAGTTTGGCTATAGCCTTATCTCTTTATACTAGGCTATCTTGGTAGAGTAGTGGCAAGCTGGTGTTATCCTCTGTTTATTAGTACAAAGGCGCAGTGAGTTTGTATTAGCACTTGAGATAGCTTTCTTGCCTTTGAAGTTATGCTAAAGGGCGATTTCATGCGCGATGGGGCAACGCGTCGTGTTATGCGCGATGGGGGCCATCACGCCTAACTCGGGGCCTTCGTGAAATTGGGCTTCGTTTGTATGTTTCTGGGCCTTTAACAGGCCTACTATATTTTATCCAGATCAGTGTCCAACACCGATCAAACACCGACGTACTCCCGATACATGTTTGGCACACAGTCAATGATATTTTACACTTTGATAAATCTGATATGCGTGTTTGACCGATTCGATATGGTCAAATGATGTTTTTTTAAATAAAATAAAAAAAATTCAAAAATTAATATACATATATCTAATTAAAAATTAAAATAAAGGATTAAATTATGCATAATCCCTGATTAAACAAAGAAGTTGTTAGTTCGATTCAAAAAGAAAAGACTCTTTCTTCCTTCACTTTTTTGTTGTTGTTAAGTTATTGAATATAAAATGTAACATACACTATATATATATATATATATATATATATATATATATATATATATATATATGGGTAAGGATCTGCATTTTACACCATATATATATATATATATATATATATATATATATATATGGGTAAGGATCATTTTACACCAGTGTAAGTTACACTCCTAATCTTAGCCGTTAATCCCACTTATATCTAAGGGCTCAAATTTTTTAGTAATGTGAGTCATTGGATACAAGTGGATCAATGGTCAAGATTGAGTGTAAGACTTCTAATTCTTACACCGGTGTAAGAATATCCTGCCCTTATATATATATATATATATATATATATATATATATATATATATATATATATATATATATATATATATATAATGTACTATTTAATATTAAAACGTGTCCCAATATGTTAAAATTTAATTTTTTTTAAAATTAACATATCAAATGACATATAGTATCGTGTCGTGTGTCGTGATGTTTCATAACGTTTCAGTACGTTTCGACGTAAGTTTGAAATATATATTGTTGAAAATTTGGATAGAACCATGATAATCCATGAGTTTTAATCACATACTACATGTATTTGAATAGTCATTATTATTCAACAAAGTAAAAAAAGCATAATCTATATTGATTTATTGTAATCCTTCGTCTCATGTTGAGACACAAAGAGCAACTAAGGCTGGCGAGGGTTCACCACTCTACAGTTCCTTCTCACTTCCCCAGCCTTACCAGATTGCAAGTCACCCATTTTCAGCATCCCTTCCACAAATGCATCAAAAAACTCACTTTGATCTTTACTATATAACGTCACAAACTCCTTTGTTTTTGGGAAAGTGAAAAGTGTTTGGTCAGAGTTAAGAAAGCCTCTCCCATCAACTAAGTCCTTGAAATATTGATTATCAAACACAAAGGGTGTGGCATCAAGGTTCCCTGTCACATTTTGGTCAACATTTAGTGGACAAAGCTTGTTAAGCTCTTCTCTAAACTCTGGCTCAATGGTAGGGTCAGTTTTTCCACTTCCAGTTTGATTGTATAGTCTAAACATGATTGAAAAACAACGAGCTTGGCCAAGAGAGTGAGATCCTGAGAGTGCTACAAGGTCTTTCACACTAAGGTTGAACTTTTGGAAGAGGCCAATAAGATAACTTGCATTGGATCTTGGGCTTGGCATTATATTGTTTGAGTCTTCTTGTTTAGCAGTTAAGCTATCCAATCTTCCCAAATTAACCGTCCAATCGGGTCCTCCAGTCTGAAATATAAGAAAAAGTTATTTTACTTTTAACAAAGTGAATAGTTAAATATGCATCCATCATTAACTTAATTTGAATTATATTTTGATATGACCTCAGTAAAATTTGGAAATGAATTCTCTCATGTGCATAAAAAAATGTGATATGGTCATGTGGGAAGATCACAATCATACAAAGGTAAATCAACGGTTATGATTTTGTAATTACCTATTTTAATATATATTTTTCTCTCCTTACTTTTTACCATTAATTCACCTTTGTATGGTTATGATTCTCCACATGACATGATCATGTGAATTTTCACATGAGAGGATCCAGATCCATAAAATTTAAAAATGGGTATATCTTTATTGGGGCAGATTACGTTTACAACTTTTTTTGTTTACAACTCTTACAAACTCAACTATGTTCTCCCGGGAGTACACTACTGGAGAGTATACTCCCGAGAGACATAGTTGAGGTTGTAAGAATTGTAAACAAAAAAAGTTGTAAACGTAACCCTTCCCATCTTTATTTATTTAAAAAGAGAAAAGTATTTCTCCAGTCACCGGAGATAAAATTATAAAGTTATTTCCAGTAAACTCAAAACGACGTCGCTTTGAGTTATAAGATTAAAAAATTATAATGATAAAGACTAAAATAACCCTGCAATATATTATAATTACAAAAATACCTTGATTTCCATCCCAAAACGACGTCGTTTTGAGCTCATTAGAGATAACTTTATCTCCGGTGACTGAAGAAATCCTTTACCCATTTAAAAATGATATAATTAAGAAAAAGGGGGAAAACATTCAAAAGAGTTTACTCCAAATCTACATAAAGATTAAAAAACGAAGACGACCTAACAATTTTAAATAGGAACAATAGAAAAGGAAAAGCATTTAGAAATAAGTTTATTCTAAATTTAACATACGTTGAGAGTTTATTTTATGAAAAATATAATCATCATGTTACATCATACAGGTTACATCATGCTTTAGAGACAAAATTAATAAGGTCTACTATTTAATATATATTTTATTTTTTATTTAATTGTGGACCTCACTAAGTTTATCTTTATCTTTATAACATGAATGTAACTTGCCTAAAGATAGACCTTGTTTTATTGCTCATCAATGTTAATTTTATTTTATTATGATGACACTGAGTTGCGAAAAGGATTTGAAAAATACACCATAAGAATATGGGTCCTGCAGAGTTCGAAAATAACTGCAGCATCATGCAGTTATGATAGGACGGTTTATATTAATAGAAATTATATTTAAAGTTTTTTAATAAAACAAACAAATAGTACTTTCCAGCTAAGATCCTCGTGATGCGAGGTCCAAAAGCGTGAACATTTTCCATATACTATTATTTCATATTATTTATATAAATGATATTTTTCACATAAGAATAATCATCACTGTCATTATTTCTTATTTCCCTCTTTTTCTTTCTCTTATATTTTTAAAGATTAACTATGCAAATTGTCTAGTACAAATAAATAATAATAATTTTTACATGACAAAATTTCGTAAAATTTTAATACGAGAAAACATATATTTGCAAATGCAAAAGGCGATAACGCAAAGTCGATCAATGACCCAAAACCCAATATCAAAACTAAGAATAAGAAAAAATATTAAGAGATAAATTTAATTTTTACTTATATATAAAAAGAGTTTGGTGTTTGTCATTTTAAATGACATAAGTTATGTCATTTTAGGATAGAGATAGATACAGAAAAACGGAAATCATGGGAGAGAGAAAGTGGGTGGTTTTTTTCAATTTAAAATTCAAATTTTCTGTGTCTGTATCTCTCTTAAAATGACATAACTTTCAGTCATTTAAAATGACAAACATTTTTTCCATATAAAAATATATGTTGCTCATATTTTTTTCTTCTCTTATTTTCTCACATGAGAGTATGAGATTATATAGACCTCACATATTTTTATATGTACGAGATAAATTTATTTTCTATAACAAATATAATCCAATAAAACAGAAGAAAAATGTCAAATATAGAGATGAGTACGAACCAGTGCTACAGCATCTCTAGCAGCCATGATTATGATATCTGCACAAGAAACAACTCCCGGGCACGCTTTCTCTAGTGCTTCCTTAACTTCATCAATAACTTCAAATGATCTAAGCGAATTTATATTCGAGAGTGCTAATTTCTCACCAAGCATAGTTGGTGTGTCATCCAGCAACATAGAAGCATCACACCCCTTCACCAATTCAATAATGTTCATTTAGAAAAATAATAATAAAATAAATGAATGTGGATATTTAATATAAACTAATTAATATATATATATATATATATATATAGAGGAAAGATCCGTTTACAAATTTTTTTACAAATACATTATGTTCTACCAGGAGAACATAGTGTAACCTAGTGTTCTTCCCGGAGAACATAGTGTAGTTTGTAAACAAAAAATTTTGTAAATATAATTTTTCCCATATATATATATATATATATATATATATATATATATATATAGGTAGGATCCTTTAACACCAGTGTCAAATTTGAAGTTTGACACCTCATCTGAGAGCCGTTAGATCAAAAAAGATAAACGACTCTGATTTGCAAGCATGTGATACCATTGATCTTTTTTGATCTAACGGCTCTCAGATGAGGTGTCAAATTTGAAATTTGACACCGGTGTCAAAGGATCCTACCTATATATATATATATATATATATATATATATATATATATATATATATATATATAAGATTGAATTTTGAAGGAAGTGAAAAAGTAAGGTACATTGACAAAGCAATCATGGAATTGGAAGCGCATAACAGAGGCAACACTTCTTGGTTCCCTTGCGAGGGCTTTCTTCATGACATCTCGAACTATGAGTTCAACTTCTGGACATGTATTTGAGTAAAACCCAGGTCGGAGCTCCCATGATGTTACCATGGTGAAACTGGTTATGTGTAAGAGGAAGATCAGAATTAGAGACATGGTTATGGGTTGGCTTGTGTGTGTATCAAAAATGCTCTCTTGTTTTGATATCTTGGGAAACTGAAGAAGCCTCGTGTGTGTATTTAAAGTAGGGAAACATATTAAATCATCCAGGACCACCTAATAATTTGGTGTTCCATCTCATAACATCAATTTTTTTTTTCCTTTTTATTCTTATTACTTTTTCTCTTTTCCAATTTTATCTTTTTATTTACACTAATAAATACTCTCTTAAAGTAGAGATCAGAGTAGAATTGGGTGTGTTTGGAAACTTTGAATTTAATGAATATTTAATAAATTATTGAGGAATACAAGTCTTATGTTGTCCGAGACTTATTATCTCATATGATAACTACAAAGCATGTGGGGTCTACTATTTTAAAAATAATACTAAAATAAATAAATATTAACATAACTTTTGATATATGAATAGGAGAAATATATTATCTTATATAATAAAAGGAAAAACATATCCCTAAATTATTATAGAAAAAGTGTTACATAGGAAGAGGTTATACTAATTTCTTTTCTCTTATAATTATTTTTTATGATTGTTGGATTAAAATTAAATGAACAACTCTTATTTATATTATTTTATAACTATTGATTTGATTTTGATACAACAATTATAAAAATAATTATAAGAAGTTATAAATATAATCTCATATATGAGAAAAATATTTCTCAAGCAGCTCGAGATATATTTATCTCCGTTCACCCCAAAATTACGTCGTTTTTTTATTTATTTTCTTATATTAATTGATTTACCTTTGAATGGTTATGATTCACTTTTCTTTTCTTTTCCTTTATTACCATTGATCCATCTTTGCACGGTTATGATTTTTAGTAGTCGAAGATAAAGTTACCTCAAGCAGCTTGAGAAGCGATACCCCTCACACACATATCACTTTGTGAATTTTATTTTCCGTTACATATAAATTATTAATAATATTTCAATTTTTATTATAGAAAATATTTTCCTGCCGTATTTATATATTCATATAACTGGGTTCCATTAATCTTTTTCTTTTGTCTCCTCTGTTCAAAAGGAATCCATTTACTTTTACGTGCATATGACACAAAATAATTTTCTATAGTAAAAGAAAAATTATTTTTTCCATATAAATTTATTAAAAGACCCTTTTTTCAAATCTAAAATGACATTGAGTTGCATACACTAAATTCGTCATCATCATATATATATATATATATATATATATATATATATATATATATATATATATATGAGGTAGGATCCTTTGATATCAGTGTCAAATTTAAAATTTGACACATCATCTGAGAGTCGTTAGATCAAAAAAAGATCAACGACTCTGATTTGTAAGCATGTGACACATTGATCTTTTTTGATCTAACGGTATATATATATATAGTATACTTTCTAATTACGTTAGTTGGAAAAAATTACTGATAAATACCTTTTAAATTTTAATACTTTAAAATATTTTTACTTTGACAGTAATTCTTACTGTTTTAAGTAATATATTATCGATCATCAAAATAAAATAAGTAATATATTCTTATTTATTCTTTTAAAAGACAAATTCATTGGAAAGAACTTTTTCCTATTTAATAGGACACGGATACGGAAGATGTGGTGTACGTGTAGAGTCACATCTAAACCCCTAAAAAGAATTCTAATTCATGATATGATAGGCAATGAAGATGAAAATAATAATACTATTACTAAATATAGACAATTAAGATCAATAGTTGATCATATCAATTAAGAATGAGATGATATTTCTTCTAATTCAAGATTTGGATGGACAGCTAGAAGCTACACTTTACATTAGAACTATATTTGAGGAAATCCCCTTTTTTTATTGCGCCACAGACCCTCTAGAATAAGGTAAGAATTATTTATTTTTTTTATCTTTGCACACTAAATGGAACCAAAATTAAACATTGGATCGACACAAATTGTTCAAGCCTCTAGACTTTAGCCACTTTTTTTTTTTGGTATCCTGACTTTAGCCACTTTATTCATACACATGGGTGCAAAATGCCTTCAAATGTATTTTTTTTATATGGATTTTGTTCATGGTAGGTAAAATATCGATTTATCACTACCATTTTATATTTTAACAAAAAAAAATTCATTAAAATGATTTTACCAATATTTCAAATGATTTTATATTTTTATGATTTTTTTTACGTTACGATTTTATGTTTTATAATTTTTTATCCATCTTCTGATTTTACGTAAAATCTCGATTTTAATAAATTTGATTTGGTTTATGTTTATCCATTCATAAGTCTAGAAATGAAAATAATATTTCTTGTTTTTTATTAAAATATTTTTAAAATTTTGAGGTTTTACATTTTTTATATTTTTAATTCCTAATCATGTATATTAAACTCTAACTCGATATATTTAATCATGGATCCAATTGTATTTTGAATAGAGATGGCAAAATAGCTCATGATTCCTGACATAACATGTTGAAATTTAAGTCATTACGAGTCATTAACTCCAGTAACCCGTTTGCTAACCTATAATTTTTGACAACTCATTACGAGTCACAGGTCAATCTATATATTTTATTCAATTTTCCTTTTTATTTTTAATTTTTTTTAAAAAACTAATTTTTAATTTTTTACGTATTTACTCGTGTGACCTATGACCCGCAGGTTAGATCCGAGTTTTAATTTTTGTCCCATAAAATAAAACGTGTCAAGTTCAAATTAAACAATTCAACCCACAGGTCAAATTTTAACACGATACGAATCCAATTCACCTATTCATTTTGTCACCCCTAATTTTGAAGATGGAGGAGGTACTTGTGTAGATTCAAGGCTGACAAGCGCACTTTACTTTTCTATCTGTTTTTTTTTTGCTCTTTTAATTCTAATTCCACCCATCATAAATGAGTGATAAATTGCAATTACAACTCATTGAAGATGGAATGAATATAAAATGACGTACACTCTAAAGCGGTTCTTGTGAACATTAATGGTGATTAATATCTTTAATGTGATAGTAAAGAAAGCTCATCAAATTCTATGTTTTTTAATATATATATATATATATATATATATATATATATAGAGTCAAGATCCTTTGACACCGGTGTCAAATTTAAAATTTGACACCTCATCTAAGAGTCATTAGATCAAAAAAGATCAACGACTCTGATTTGTAAGCATGTGACACCATTGATCTTTTTTGATCTAACGGCTCTCAGATGAGGTGTCAAACTTCAAATTTGACACTGATGTCAAAGGATCCTACCTCATATATGTATGTGAAAAAATATGTGTCATTTTAAATGATACAAGCTGTGTCATTTCATAGGCACAAAGAAGTGTGGGTCCCACTGAAAAAATAAATATAAAAAATGAACGTGTGGGTCTCACCATTTTATGTCTATGAAATGAAATAACTTGTGTCCTTTATAATGACACATTTTTTCCTACATTTATATGAAAAAAATATTTCTCTAGCCACTTGAGATAAACTTATCTCCAGCCCTCCCATTTTAATTATTATTCGCGGGAATATATAGTTATAACGTTAAAAAAAATTTTCTTTCCACGTCAGCCGAGAGAATCTAAAAAGTGAATGAGGAGAGAGAAAAAATCAACTTTAAGGTTATAGCTATGTATTTCCGAGAATACATAGTTAAAAAGGGTGGCTGGAGAAGCTTATCTCAAGTGGCCGGAGAAATGTTAACATATATATATATATGTGTGTGTGGAAAAAATATTTCTGCAGTTACTGCAGATAAGTTTTCTGCATTTATTCCCAAAACGACGTCGTTTTGGAATTGAAATCTTAAAAAATTATAAATATAAAGATTATTATAACCCTGAAATAAATTAAAATTACAAAAACACCATGATTTTCGCCCAAAACGACGTCGTATTGGGCTTACTGCAGATAACTTATCTGCAGTAACTACAGAAAAAGCAAACCCTATATATATATATATGGGTCAAGATCGTTTTACACCAGTGTAAATTATACTCTCAATCTTGACCATTATCTCACTTATATCTAAGGCTCTAATTTTTTAATAATGTGAGCCATTGGATACAAGTGGATCGAGATCAAGATTGAGTGTAAGACTTCTAACTCTTACACTGGTGTAAGAATATCCTACTCAAATATATATATATATATATATATATATATATATATATATATTAATTTGTGTCTTTCTCTCGGCAAAAAAAACTAAAATATTATTGTTTTAATAAATAATTACGAATATATAATTGTTTTGAAATTATTTATGAAATCATAGCACTCATTAACGCCCAAATTGGGCGTGAATGGACACGCCTAAGTTAGGAGTGACTCACGAGGCATTCACACACAATTTAGGCGTGACTTATCTGGTATTGACATGTGACACAAAAAGTTAACAGTTTTATCGTAAAACTTTGCAAGGTCATAATTGTTGACTTGGGTATCGGAATCAGGTATTTGTTTTTTGATTCTACATAACTTTTTGAGATCTACGCAATGACATCTCATTTGACATATTTTATCTCTCACAAACATAGTTTGAATTTGCAACAATAGTACAATAAGAGTATTTAAACCGAGAAGCCTCTTAGTTCTTTCCGAATCAACACCAAACATAGTCTTCTGCCTACTAGGACCTCCCCATCCTTATCCTCTGTGTCGTATTCTTATCACTTTATCTTTTAAGTTGTAGCTTGAAATTAAAGATGGCACCAAAGTGGATTAGTCCATCTATAAATAAGGATATTTAATGTCATATTAAAATATCAGAATAATATTTTTGCAGTTACTGCAGATAAGTTATCTGCATTTACTCCCAAAACGACGTCGTATTGGGATTAAAAAAATTAAATAATTATAATTATAAAAACTATAATAACCCTGAAATAAATTAAGATTACAAAAACACCATGATTTCTGCCCCAAAATGAGAAACCTTAAAATATATACTTTCTTCCAATTGTTTGAAAAAAAAATAGTGTATAATATTGTAAGAAAAATAAGTGTCACAATATAA